GGATTTGAACTCAAGGCACTCTGTGCACATTCTTTAGGCAAAAAGAACTACTACCAAGCAGCAGTTGGTACAAGTGGTGCAGTGGATGGAGCCCTAAGCCTGGAGTCAGGAAGACCTGAGTTCAAATTTGGCTTCAGACATTCACTAGTTGTGTGACCTGGGCAAATTGCTTAACCTCTGTTTTCCTCAGTTTCCTCAACTGTAAAATGAAGATAATAATAACACTTATCTGGCAGGATTTTTGTGAGGATCAAGTACATTATGAGGCTCAAGGTGGGTTTGTTTCCAACTTGGGTTGTTAGGAAAAGCTTCGTGGAGGAGTTGACACTTGGATTGGGTTTTAAAGGATGATTAGAAATTAGAGGAAAACCTTCTAGGCATAGGGGATAGTATTAGCGGAGGGAAAGCAGGTAAGCATGGGATGTATATGCATGATGCATAGACCAATTTGGCTTAAGCCCTGAGTACACGGAGAGGAGAAATATAAGAAAAAGCTGGAACGACACCACTATCCTTCCAATGTCTCAGTTTTGTAAGCATGGCATTTTATTTTCCCTCACCTCACGTATCAAGATAGTTCCCAAATCTTGCTATTTACACCTTCACGGTGCTTCACCACTTAGAGAGCTACTACTTTATTTCAGACCGTCAATACCTCTCACCTAGATTACTGCAGTAGCCTCCTAGTTGGTCTTCCTGACTCAGTCTCTCACCATTCTAGTTCATCGTACACTATACTTGCTGCCAAAATGATTTTCCTTAAGTGTGAATTTGATTCTATAAATCCCCTACTCATCCATGTTCAGTGACTTTCTGGACAATATAAGCTCCTCTTTTCAGCTTTCAAAATCCAGTACCACCTGTCCCCAATCTGTCTTTCCACCCTCATTGAACATTACTGTCCATCCTGTACTCTGAGATCCAGCCAAACTTAGCTTCTTTCTTTTCCTCTTAAACGTGAAACTCCATTTCCTGTCTCTGGATCTTTGCATTGGCTATTTTCCATCCCTGGGACATAGTTACTCAGAAACCTTAGCGTCCCTCTCTTTCTTTAAGTAAAGTCAACAAGCATTTATCAAGTACCTTCTATGTTGTACCAGGCATTGTACTGTATGCCACTGATGCAAAGAAAGGCAAAAGACAACCCCTGCACTCAGGGAGCTCATGGTCTAATGGGGGAAGATAACATGAAAACAACAAAGTACTAAAAAGTTATTTACAGGTTAAATTGGAGATTATCAGTAGACGGAATTAAGGGAGATCAGGAAGATCTTGCAGAAAGTGTTTCCTTGTGGGGATTGGCGGGGAGGGGGATAGGGTGGAATTTTAACTGGGATTTGAACGAAGATGAGAAGTGGAGATGAGGAAGAGAATTCCAGCCTGAAGGACAGCTAGTGAATATTCCATAAGTTGGAACATGGAGTATTTTGTAAGGAAGTGTGAGGAGGCCAGAATGATTGATTGAATTATAGATTACGTGGAGGGGTGTAAAGTATAAGAAGATTGGAAAGGTAGCAGGGGACTGGGTTATGAAGGATTTTATATTTTATCCTAGAGGTGAGAGCCATTGTATTTTATTGAATAGGTGACATAACATGGTTTAGACCTGCACCTTAGGAAGATGATTTTGGAGAATGGACTGAAGTGGGGAAAGTCTTAAAGTCTTAAGACAGACAGAGCAACCAAAAGCTGTTGCAATAGTCTAGGTGTGAGATGACGAGGACCTGCACCTAGGTCCTCATTGACAGTGCCAGAGGAGAGAAGGGGGTGTATATGAGAGATTTCAATGCTGTAGAAATGACAAGACTTAGCAGTAGGTTGCATTTGGGAGTGGGATGAGAGAGTGAGGAGTTGAGGATAACAATTGGGTTGTGAGCCTGTGGTGTCCTCAACAATAATAGGGAAGTTTGGAAGGAGTGATTGCTTTGATTTTTGGTGTTTTGGGGAGTACAGGCAGTGGGGTGGGGAAGATCAGGAGTTCAGTTTTGGACATTTTGAGCTTAATATGCCCATGGAACATCTAGTTGGAGATGTCCAATAGACAGTTGGAGATTCAAGTCTGAAGGTTGGGAGAAAAGTTAGGGTTGCACAAATAGCTTCAGAAATTCTCAGAATAGCGATAATTACATCCATGGCAGCTCGTTTAAATCAGCAAGTGAAATAGTATAGAGGGAGGAGGGAAGAGAGCCCAAGGCAGAGCCCTGTGCAACTCCTGGGGTTACAGCCGTGACCTGGATGAAAATCTAGCCAAGGAGACTGAGAAGGAATAGTCATATAGGTTGGAGAAAAGCCAGGATAGAATGTTGTCAGGGAAACCTATAGAAAAGAGAGTATCAACCAGAAGAGGGTGACTGACACTATCAAATGCTGCAGAGATGCCAAGGATGAGGACTGAGAAAAGGCCATTAAGAACTGGCTTTAGGATGCTGCTCAGGTACCATCTTCTCCATGAATCCTTTCCTGATTTCCGCTAATGGCTAGTGCTCTCCCTTCCAAACTACATTATTTTTAACCGCTTTGTGCCTGTGCATCTATGTGTTTATACATATGTGTGTGCACGTGTGCATATATGTCTCTATATATGAGAATTTTTATGTATATACATATACACCCACACTTAGAACTGTCTATATTTTTACATGTGCTTGTTTTCTCCTCTATCGGAATGTAAGCTCACAGAGTAAGGATTGTTTCATTTTCGTGCACAGTGCTTGGCACACAGGTGCTTAGTAATACTTATTAACTGAAAGGTAGTGTGGGGCCAGAGGATAGAGGGCCTCGAATGCTCTATTAAAGATTTAAAATTTTTCTTAGAACCCTTCAGTGATTTCTTCTTACCACACTTATACTGCCATAATCAGATCTGTGCAAAAGGAAATTTCATCTAGCAGCGTTATGAATGATAGACAGAGGATAGATTTGAGCATGGAATAGATAAAGGAAGGATGGATAGAGAGAGTAGAAGCAGCAAAATCTGTGGATAAATAGTGTAGGGAAGGGGAAGAGAATATGCATTTATATACTGCGTCCTGTGTATCAGGCACTGTGCTAAGCAATTTTTACAAACATCTTATTTGGTCCTCCCAACAGCCCTGTGAGGTAGTTTCCCCATTTTACAGTTGAGGAAACTCAGGTAAACAGATTAAGGGACTTGCTCAGGGTCACATAGCTAGGAAATGTCTAGAGCTGGATTTCAGTAGATGAATGAAAGTGAGGGCCTGTAATAAGATAACGGCAATGAGAATGGAGCAGGGGAAGGATAGATGGGAAAAAAATGTTAAGGTAGAATTGACAGGACTTGATAACTGATTGGATATGACAGGTGGAGAAGAAAGAACAGTATAAATAGTGATGCCACAGGCTATAGTGGAATCAGAGGCAGGAGCAGGTTTAAGAGGAGAGATCATGTGTATAGTACTGAATACATGGAAAGAGATCCCATGGTTGCTTGGAAGAGATATTAGAGGTATAGCCATAGATTTGAGAGCTAAATTAGAGATGAAACCTTAGGACTGGAATATATTTACTGAGAGACAGAGAGACTGTATCCAGAAAAAGACCCTGTGAAATGTCTACATTGAGATTTTGGAAAGGAGGAAGTGATTATAGAGGAGTAAAAGAATCAAAAACCTAACTTTTTTTGGAGGCAAGGTAAGGAAGAGAGCCTGTTCGTCAGGAGGTAGTTTACCCAGTGTCAGATGGTGCAGAAGGGTCAAAGAGGATGGGGAAAGAAAAAAAGGCCATTGGACTTCATGATAAGGAAGTCATTGGAAATTTAAGTGTAATGTTGGGGATAAGGGTTGGAAGGGTTTAAAGAGTTTGTGATTACGTTGAACAGTACTTTAAAAAAAAAAGTTTGTCAATGAATGAAGGAAGGACTGGGTAGTAGAGAGACTTTAAAAAAAAACAGAAGGAGATACTTTGACCTGTTGAGAAGCATAGATATAGGAGGGCTTGAGGGTGGGGGGGGAAGGGGAGCCAATTACTAGAACAGGGTGCTGAAGGAAGCAATCATTAATGAATAGGATCAAGATAGAGGGATGAAGGGAAAAGGAAGAAGAATTAGCCTTAAATAAAAGTAAGGATAACTTATTTACTAAGGCCAGAGGGAAGAAGAAAAGGCTCTGTTGTCTCTTTTATCTCTATTTCAACCTCACATCAGCCATGTGAGGTTGGTAGTATATTGTCATCCCATTTTATAGATGAAGAAGTTGAGGATTATATAAATTGTGACTTGCCCAGTGTCATAGCTAATAAGTGGCAGAGCTAAGATTGTAACACAGGTCTTGTAGCTACAAGTCCAGCATTCTTTTTAATATATTATATTATTTCTGTAAGTGTAAGTACCCTTTTAGAAAATGGTAATAATATATAAAGGCATTTTTTATTTGTTGAGAAAGAAATTATATTGATTCAAGATAGCTTTTTTTTTAATAAGCACAAATGATTTTGACCTAACTCATTAATCTCTATAGTATTATAGGCAGTCTTATTTACTGAATATGATTCCAGTTACTGGAATATATCTTTCCTGGTGTCTTGAAACTATTCTTTGACAACTGAATAGATGTTAAATTTTGATAGGTTCTCAGTTCTTAAAATATAAATGTAGGATAATAATTCACATTTACGTAGGACCTGAAAGATTTACAAAGTACTTCACAACAACTCTTAGATGGGAAGTACAAATAGCATTATTGCAAACCTTTATAGATGTGGAAATTAAGTCTCTGGTTGTGATTTACCCACAGTCTACCCGGCTGGTAAGTATCAGAGCCAAAACTTGAACCTAGGTCTGATTCCAGGGTCAGTGATTTTTACAGTATACCAGCACATATTATTGAGAACTGCTGTGCTCCTTAAAGGCATATGAATACAGGTGATACAAAATACTGAAAAAAAGTCTAGCATGTAGAATTAACCTTGGATTGACTCTGCTTACATATGTTATATTTTTACTGTTTTATGTAATAAATTAGTGATCATCCTTTTTAGATGACCAGGATAAAACGATTGAAGTGGTTTTGTCATCTGCCAAAAAACAAGAACCATTACCCCTCCACCAGGAGACTAAAGACAGTGGATCTGGAAAAAAGAAAAATTCATCAAAGAAACAGAAAATGGATAATGGTAAAATATTGTTTTGAAGCTTTTAGTTTTGAGTCACCTCATACTAATAATGTGAATTTATGTGATATAGATGTGACATATTAAAAAGATTTACACTGTCCCCCTCCACACCCTTGTAGTGGAAACAATATCACTTAGAAGTGTAAAATTTTAATATATATCATGTATTTACCTTAAATTGCATGCTTTGCTTTAACTTTTAATGTACTCTTAAAAAAAGCAATGATATGTTGAATTTACAAAACAGCAATGATGGATGAACCTTGTAGTCACTCGAGTTCTTATACTTCTTTGATGGATAACTCGGACCCAAATCCTGCAGCTGATAAGAGAGAAGTGATTGATCTGGTTAAAAGTGATCAAGTAGAAGGGATCCAAAAAACAGGAATGAATAAACTGAAAAATGAAACTGACAAAGGTAATAAAATTAGCATATTCTAGTCTCCTTAAAAATATCTGAACAACCTGTTAAAATACATTAGGTGTAGAATCAAGGTCTAAACTGATTTTGGTAGATGAGGAACTGAGAAAGAGACTCAATGACTTGTTCAAGTTTATAGGTATAGTTGTAGTTTAATGGTCGTCCACAAAGACTTATTTGACAAATAAGGTTAAGAACTATTGTACTAAAAGATTGCATGAGTCCTAAGCGTGCTTGAGCCTAGGATTTGGGTGAACAATTTGGCAGATGAATGGGGTAAGGGACTCTTTTGGGGAAGGGATAATGGTTTCAGTGAAAGATATGGGGTGGGGGTCTAACAGCAGAAAAATGAGATGTCAAGCAGATGATGAGATGCATGGGCCATTTATAAGTGTAGAATACCTATAAATATCTTTTTTCAATTATTTACGTATACTATCTTATTTTTGTCGTAAAAGATAGAATTTACTACTAGCTCCTTAAATAATATTATGTATTCTTATCCAGCTTTGAGAAACTTATTTTCAGTAGCTTGTTAAAGATAATATTTAAATAGCAATTTTTTAATGGTCCCTGAGTTCATTGCTCTTTTACATATTTTTTCCTGTTTAATTTTGGTCTTTTTTGAATTATGCCACATAGCTGCTTATTTATGTCAAACTAATTTTCTTCATTTTAGAAAATGCAGAGGTAAAATTTAAGGATGTCCTTCTCTCTCTGAAGACTATGATATTCTCTGAAACTGAGGCTCTTTGTGTTGTAGACTTGCTAAAGGAGAAGTCTGGTGCTATACAAGATGCCTTAAAGAAGGTAAGTCTGTGCTTGGGTATATATTCATTGAAGGGGAAAATGGTGAGAATTGCAGATGTAGGTGAGCAGTTAAGTCTGTTTCTACTTTTAGTAACCCAAAAGACTACTTTTTGAGCTAAGTTTTTCTGCTTTTCATCAGGGTTGTATTTAAAGATTAATTTAGATATAGAATATAGACTGTTGTTGAGTCATTTCAGTCATGTCTAACTCTTCCTGACCTCGTTAGAGGTTTTCTTGGCAAAGATACTGGAGTGGTTTGCCATTTCCTTCTCTAGCACATTTTACAGATGAGAAAACTGAGGGAAAGAGGATTAAATGACTTGCCTAGGGTCACATAGCTAGTAAGTATCTGAGGCTAGATTTGAACTAAGGAAGATGAGTCTTCTGACTCCAGGTCTGGTATTTTATCCACTGTGTCACCTAGCTGCCCAGAATATAGATTATTTAAGAGCAAAAGAATAGTGTCAGTACTTCTCGATATGTAGAACTGTCCCTTTGTGACTAATAAGTAATAGACATTTCAGGATATATTCAGATAAGCAGTTATTGCTAGGAAAAGTAAGTCCAAACTGCTAAATCTGACATTGAGGGCTCTTCACAGTTGGGCATCATTTACTTTTCTTTTTCTTTTTATTGGAGCCTTTTGCTGCAGTACCTTATGAATAAAGAGTAAAGCATTTATCATGTCCTTACTATGAGCTAGGCACTGTACTGAGCACGAAGGATACAAATATTAGAAAGTAATATAGTCCCTACTCTGTGTTCTGATGGGAGAAGATAACACATAAAGAGGAGCTAAACAGGGGGAGATGTTATATACTCGTGGTATAACTTGGTTTGGTCACGGTGGCTGAGAAATAATGTGAAGGACTTCTACAAGCATGTGTTTACTTGTTTTATACCACACTTGAGGTTGCT